AATAAATTTTTTTTATTTAAATTCTTATTATTGAGTAGATAAATTAAATATAAAAACTTGTTAAATATAAAAATAAAATTTTTTAATTTTTGATTGAATATAAATAAATATTTAATTGCTTATAAGAAATTATTTTACGTACGAAAATAAATAAAAAATATAGTAAAATAAAATTTAAATTCTCATTTTCAAAAAAATTGATTTCATACATGTATCATTATATAAATTATTCATTTATATCATTATCATTATAAATTATATCATTATATAAATAAATCAAGTACACGTATATTCTATTAATTTTAAAATTCGTTTTTTTTTTTAAAAATGAATTTTCGAATGAAAGAATTTTATTCTATCTCTTATTATTAAAGATTTGTAAATTGGAAATTAGCCAAATTTACACTCAATTTTAAAATTTGATTTTCTGGAAAAAAAGATTATTAATAAAATATTATTCGTTTTTTTCACTTATTTTTCTAAATTCTCTCCTTACTTTTATTATCATATTTTTCATATATAACGAAATAGACTATATCTTTTTTTTTTTTCTAACGTATATTCCACAAAATTAAGTTTGATACAATGTTATAATATTTAATCTTTTTTGAAAATACGATTGAAAATATTTGATCTTATATTCATTTATAAACAATGAGAACTTATTTATTTAAAAAATATTTGAGAAAAGTTTTACTTTTTGATTCTTTCTAAATTTTTCTAATTATCTTTGCTGTGTATAATTTAAAATAAAAATATTTATAAATATATATTGAAAATTGAAATTATAAAAAAATAGAGAAAATACATAATAAAAAAATATATAAAATATATATTATATAATATATAAATATATATATATCTTGCTTGCAAAGCAGGTGCACTTTGTTATTTTGTTCTCTTGATTAAATGCTATTGTTGGTTTTAAAAATGTAATTGATCTTTTCACTGATAAAGTATTTACAAAGAAACTTTGATAATAATAGCTTTACTTAGTTAAAAAAAAAAAAAAATTAAAATGAATTGTATCATTAAATAAGAAATATGAATATTTGAAATATATATTGAATATAGATATGTGTCATAAAGTGAAATAAAATTGTAATGACGATTTGTGTGGATATAATATAGAAATAAAACTGTTGTTCGTAACTGTTTAACTTTTATTCTATTCTGTTATAGTTATAAAATTATAGTAACATGAAAACTAGAGTAATGAAAATAACATAGGCATTGCGAGAAGATGTGAAGACGAAATATATAAAATATTAATCAATAGAAATACATATTAATTGGAAATATCTCAAAAATTTAAATTTAATAACGCAAAATAAACATTATAATATATATTTTATATCAATTTAATATCAATTTATGAAATGATATATCAAATTTTTCATATTCTATACAATATAAAAAAAAACAACTTTTTATAATTTTGATACAATTATACAATTTGACATAATTATATTTTTCTTTATCTAAAATTATTTTCATAAATCAATTTTTTTGTAAAAATAGAATTTAAAAAAATTTTTTTTTGTATTTTTTCCAATATATATTGAGTATGATTTACATACTTCTTATTGCTATAGTAAATATCATTTTTTGATTTAATATTGGATATTATGTTTATTAGAATGTCTTCTTTTATCTTTCATATAATTAATTAAATATTGTATATTTAATCTGCCTTATATTATATTTTTTTTATTCTATTTATCTTCTAAAATTATTATATTTTAAATTTAATTTTCTTATTTCTATACAAAATACTTATTTAATTCTTTTATCTTAATAATTTATATAGATTTTTTTTTATTAATTGACATATTTAATGAATTTTATATTTTAAATTTGACATAGATAATATTAGTTAGTATAATTTTTAAAATATAAAAAAATAAATATAAAAAAAGTTTATCATTATTTTACAAAAACAAAGAATAAATAAATATAATTGTATAAGTTTCTGAAAATTCCCATAAAATATGTAATATATTTCATTGTCACATTATCGTAACAAATAGATTGTAAAGACAATAATGAATTATCGATCCGTGAAAGGCTATGTATATTATATTATAGATTATGATACAGATAAATTCTTTCCTGATAATTGAATATATTTTCATGTATATACATGTATCATTTATATACTTTATCAAAATTTTTATATCATATTATCAATAGTGTATATTTTTATTGTCTATTTTTATATTTTCTAAAATAGTATTTCTCAACCGATGTTATAACCAAATCAATATATTGTAAAAATAAAATTTTATTAAAAAAAAAATAATACTTGTTTTATTAATATTTGAAAAATGTAATTTATGAATAAATTAATCAATTATCAATGAGCATAAATCATTATTATATTAAAAATGTGTAAGTATATTAATATTATAAATATTTTACAATAAATTTTATTTTATAATAATAAAATTAAAATATGTTATAATTTTAAATAAAAATTCTAATAGTTGAAAATATCTAACTAATTTTAAAATATGTCGCTAATTTATTAGAAAACAGTGATTTGAAATTATTATTATTGAATATTATTATTTAAAAGAATATTGTTTAAAATAACAATAAAATAATTTTAAATATTTAAATGTAATATATATAATATAAAATAATTTGTTATATATAGTATAAAAATTTAAGTTTTAAAATTCTAATTATTTTTTTTTAATAAGATATTTTCATATCTTATAGCTTATTGTTTGTTTATTTGACAAATTGTTACATTATTTCAATTTTAAAATTTTGCAATATTTTCTATGTATATTAATGTTATATATGTATTGTATTCCAAAATATATAAATTATTATTTAAAAAATTGTTATTTAAGAACAGCAATAATATTTTTCAATATTTTTATTTTTTATTTTCAGAAAAAAATATACAAATAAAAATGTTTCAATTTATTATTGTCATTTTAATTATATTTAATCATTTAATTTTTTAAATTAATACTTTAAATTTATTTAATATAATATTATATAATTTATATACTAATATATTAGTTACAGTAATACATTTAATTTTTAATTTTAAATTTATTTAATATAATATTATTTAATTTATTAATATAATATTATATAATTAATATACTTATTATTTACAGTAATACAAATGATGAAAGTAAAAAAAAAAAAATAATAGTTCAATATTTATTATGAAGAAAAATTACTTTTTTTATATTCTTTTATAATTTTTTGTAATTTTTGTTAATAAAAATGTTTTACACTATTTAATTCAGATATTTATATACATATAAATTACATTTAAATACATATAAATTATATATTATTAAACATAACATACACACGATTAGATATTATAGTACATCAATTGATTTCATAATTATATAATTCTACATATAGATTTTATGAATAAATCTTAAATCTGAATGATTATAGATAGTTATAAATTTAATCATTGGCATTTGTCGAGTCCTTATAAAAACAGTCAATGGCACTTAAACTACACGGTGAATTTTCAACCGATTTCTTTGGATTCATGCATTCGTTATGATGACTATCAGTTTATGGCAGGGTGAAACATGTGGGAAGAATATGGTGGGGTTGCGCAGGATACTGTTCTCCAAGGGTAACAAGAGGGGTAGTAACCGGTGGTAGTGGTTATATTTATACATCTCTTCCACCCTCGTCAAATGAGAAGAGATAGCAACGCCACCACTACTCCATTACTTCCACCACCACCACTACCGCCGCCACCACCACCACTGCCGCTGTTGCCACCACTACCACTGTCACTGTCGCCACCACCACCATTGTCGCTGTCGCCACCACCACTACCGCCACCACCACCAACGCCATCACTCCACCACCGGTGCCATCACCTCCGCCAACGCTTCGTTGCGTTACCAATGTCGAGACGCTATATGTGATCGTTGCTGTCGTTTTAGTTACTAAGACCGTACGATCCTTCGTACTGTAGTGAAGCGGGAGAAAAAAAGTGAAAGAGGGAGGAAGAGAGAGAGTAGTGAGATAGGAATCGCAATTGAGCAAGAAAGAGAAAAAAAAATTGTCGTGGATGTGTGAAGAGAAAGAAATAAAAGTGGAAAAACAAACAGAACGTGAAAAATAGAAGGAAGAATCGTGAGAAAAAGAGAAGAAAAAGTGAAAGAAAGAGAGAAAGTATATTACAAGCCATGCTACACAATCTCGCCTGAACAAAGGAAGGCTCCCTCAACTGAGGGTCGTTTCCGATCGACGAACCGTCGGTCCCCCTTCGTTTGCCTTCGGCGCGCCTCGTGTAGCATAAGTGTCTAGCAATCGGCCAGTCACGTAGCAGCGGCTGAGCCGTGAGGAACAAAGAACAGAAGGATAAGAGTAAAACTTCAAAGAGCAAAAAAGAAGCATATATCCATGAACCGGCTTGCCGGTGAAAATAAAGAAAAAAGGCAGGTAACAATAATATTGTGCTTGTGTCAGAAATTATTATTAATCGAAAATTTTGAGTGGAGAAAGTGAAGAAAATTTTCTGTTCTTATCGAAATTTTTTATTAAAATCAGTTCAATTTGTGTACGGTACATTATAAGTTGTTTCCATATATCATTTCGCAAGTTTTATCGTATAAATACGTTAACGCTAAAATCAATGCAAGTGTAAAATAGGCATCCCTCGCGTGTGTTTTCCAAGGTGCTTTCGTTTTTGTGTTTTCAAATCACTTTGAGTGAATTCAAATAAGTTTTGAACAAGGGTGAACAGAAGTTGGATTCTTAATTGGCAGTTTTGTGAATACATACCGGCGATTTAACCTAATGATTACTTTCTAAGGGATAGGCACGCAATTACCAATGATAATTGTTACGTGTATACGTTAAGAAATCGATCGTTCATCGTGCCGTTAAATGTGCTAAATGGTGAAACAGAGAAGCTGAATAAAGACAAACGTGACTATAATAAAAAAATCATCTACTAATTATCAACATAAAAATTTTCATTTGCCTTTATTTTTGCTCCTCAATTCACTTTCGTGTGATACGTGCCACAAATATACAGTGCACAAATATACATTTGAATTTGAAGGATTTTTTGACTGAAAAGCAGAATTCCTCCGTTCGGCTACGTACGGATTATCCTCGTATTTACGGTAAGTTTACATTTTTTTTTATTGTAAAAAACTTATCAAACAAAAAATATGATAAATATTTTACCATAGATTATTCTTAACTTGAAATTTTTTTCTAGTTACTTTGAAATTATACTATATTTTTGTTATATGTATATTTATTGATTTATTTTAATTATAATGAAAATCATAATTTCATATATTCTAAAATAATCTTTGTAATATGTACGATTATTAAAATAAATTGCGAATTATATTTTAATATTAGACAGAAGAAGTTTTATTATCATTTCAATAATTTAACGTTTAATCTTATAATTTAACGTTAACTTATATATTTATAATAATAAATATACATAATATACATAAAGCTATATTGACTTGAATTCTTTTATAGTAAATTTTCATATTTAAAATTTCAAAAACTTTTAATTCGAAAAGTAATATTTAATAGAATTAAATTTGCAATTTTATAAAGTAGTTATATATTCACTTATATTGTATTTCTAATTTAAAAAATTTGTTTTTTAATTCTTCTTTTTTTTTATAATATCAATTTTTCATTAAAATCTACAAAATAGTATTAATTAGATTTTTATTAGATATATTTAACAATGATTCTGTAAATTTTAACAGTATTAAAATACTTTTACGAATTTTAAATATTAAAAATATTTAAAAGTGTAAAAAATAAAATAAAAATTGAAAAAAAATACTTTTTTTTTAAATTTTTTTAAATTATTTTTTTTTTCATATTTTTCAGTTTGACTTTATTAAAAATTTATTATTATATTATTAAAAATCGTCTTTGTTTTTACTCTTTTGCTATATTATCGTTTTAACTACTTTCATAAATAATTACAATCATTGTTTTGTAAAGCGACCTGCTCTTATCAAATGTCATGTCTACATATGACTCAAAAATCATACTCATTATTTCTGTCAGTTTGAAAGTTGAATACATTGCAAAGTAGTTATGCATACCAATGGATACATTTGTCATATAATTAGACGTTCGAGTGATTTGAAACGTGACATATATCATCTGTTGGTGACAACGGATAATTATTCAAAAGCATGATTATTAATTATGGAGTTTGATGTGATAATTTGAAGCTTAAGTGATCTTATAATTCAATCAATTTAATTATTTAAGATTTTGTTGAGAATAATTCTCAAATTACATGTTGTATAGTCGGAATAAAATTTCATTCAAAAACTAATTATATTTGTCGAGATCACATACGCGAATCATTTATTAAGACTATATTAATTTATTAATATAATCAATGGAATGTAAAAACACGAATTATAAAAATTATACAAAATGGATGTGTATCGTCGAAATATAATATTTAATTTATGACAAATTACTCGATAATACAAATAACGAAAATTAATGTATTAATTTTATATTTTTTAGCATGTTATTTTTATGTATTTTTTAATCTTATCATTTTATTTTCTTATTTCGATGTTTAGAATTAAACAATTATTTCTTTTATGTAATAATTATTTCGCAATTAATATGAAATTAAATGCGAACAATTTAAAAATATATCGACAAAATTTTATTTTATTTTTAAATAAATAATAAATTATTATTTTCCTGATTCGTTTGATTCATATTTAAATATAAAATTTACAAATAAAATAATATAATTTAATAAATATTTTTTATTTCATATATTTAATGTATGTATATAGTAATATTGTAATTAAAGGAAAAAATAAAATTAATTTTAATTTGGTCAAACAACGTTTATGCATGTAGCTTCATAGTATGTAATTGGATTTAAATTCAGAAAAAATGATATAAAAAATAATAAAAATGTAGAAATCAGATGTTTTTTGTGAAATTTTGATTTTTTACGAATACTGTTGAATGCCCATTCAGATCTATGATTCATTCGCAAATGAAATAATGTACGCCGACAGAGATGGCGCATTTATTTCTTGACAATGAATTTCTGTCAGTACGTTAAGAAATACTAGATGAAAGCTAGAATGAAATAAAACAAAACAAAAAATTCTTGAATAATATTAATTTGTTGGAGATGATGTGGATATAATAAATACGATATATACTATAGTTTTTAATTTTTAAAGGCGATAATGAAATTGATGTATACATTGAGCATTTTTGATCCATAACATTGGCTTTTCGTTTAAATTATAAAATAAATTTTTACACGAGAGTGTTATATTATTCATTTTTCCATCATCTTTTTACAAAATTTTTACAAAAACACAAATGCGATAATCTCGCGAGATTTACTATTCACTGATGGATGGTTAAATATATATTATAAACGATTGCAAACGAAATGAAGTTTATTTTCATTTCTATATATATATATATATATTAAATTTATTTATTATTTAAAATCTATATTTACATATATAATCCTTATGTGAATTTGATATCTGAAAGATAATATCAATAAAAATCGATTGAAAATCTACAATATAAATGTAATCGAATATGATAGAATGATTATAAAAAGTAGAAATCATTTGAATCTATACACGATTGAGATTCTTGTAAATAGAAAAAAATTCCTGATAAATACATTGAGCTTATAGAATCATTTCATTCATAACATGAGAATGTACGCTACATAACAATATAGTGAGTCATTTTTACATGATTCGACGTAAATACGCTTTACATAAGACAGTTGTCATTGCATTCAATGTTATATATTTAGTTTTATACTTTTTCTCATAAATAATCGGAAATCATTACAATACAAAAACCAAATTAATGAAACTTATTTATTATACATAAATATATTTCTTAATAATATAGAAAATACGGAATGTAAATGTAATTTACATTATTCCTTATCTTCTAAGTGAATAAATTTATATAAAAAAAAAAACAAAGTTTTACTATTATATATAATACGATTTTCTTAAAAATATATATTTTTTAATTTTTATTATAATTATTAATATATATATTTTATTATTTTTATTATTATAATTTTCGTTTAATGATTATTTTTAACGAATTCAACATTCTATGACAAATTATATAATATTAATAAAATATCAATTTAAAGAAAGTTTTTTATAGCTTTTAATGTATTGAATATCTAAAATAATGCAATTTTGTAATACTATTTAATAAATATAATGTTAAAATATTTCTAAAATATTTAATTTTCATTAATATTGAATTGTATTATTGAAATTAGATTACTAAAATTATCTTAATAACTGCTCTTGTATTAAATAAAAGAGAAAAAGATATTTTTTTTCACATTTTATTATGATTAATCTATTGTCGCTAATATGTTGTGTAAATACAATTATTTTTTTAATTAGTTTCTGTTTCATTAGAGATTCGTTGAATGAATAACTAGATTATCGATATTTCATCTTTAAAAATTTTTTTTGCTCTTGATATGTAACTTGCTTTTAAAGTTCGTGGATTTATAAATACGATTACATTTAAAAATTATTATAAATGTTTTTGGAGACTGAAAAATAAAAATAATATTTTTTTTATTTCCTAAAATTTTTTAAGAATCATTAATTGTCTACATATTTTAAATTAAAGATTGTTAAGCTTTTATATAAATTATAAACAGTAAAATAAATGCAAATTAAAATACATAAATAATTCATTCTTACAAAATATATATTATTTTATTGTATTATTGTGAATAAATATAAGTACTTACACATATATATAATAAAATAAAATTCATGATAAAACAACTAGAGAATAATTTTATATATAAAAGTGAAAAAGGAAAGAAGAGTTTATTTTCACGAGAACAAATAAACTGAAAAGTATAAAATTAAAAATAAAATATACTGTCAAAAAACAATCAGACATTAATATATTTAACGAATTTTCAATTTTTTTAAGTTATAAATTTTATTCTATATTTTTCATTTAATGTTTTGTAAAACATATTATGTATGATTCTATTGAGAAATATTAGTAATTATTATATTACCAATGTTTTGAAAAATAAAGAAAAACATAAATGCGTAAAATTGCTTGATATTTATTTAAATATTTTTTATTTTCTTTATTTTTGATTATTAATTTATAAATTTCGTTCTTGAATATATATTATAGAAGTTTGTATATGTAGCATACAAATTATCTATATTATTTTTCATATTTCATTTAGAATTGTTTAATATGTATTCATGAATATGAAACAATTTCGATAATTCATCTATTATATGTATATGCTTCTAATTGCTTATCTATATGACTATGTATTAAAATACTCATTGCATATGTATATCTATTTATCGATTTATGGACTTAAATCTGTTCTAACATTGAGATTTATTATTAATTGATGATGATATACTTAGCAAATTAATTGTACATATTATCTCATAATATATAGTAGAATTATTGATAATATTTTATAAATATTAATTAATTAAATATAAAATGTTAATTGTTACTTTGTCAATTTTTTACTTTTAATTACTTTTATCTTCGAAATTGATTAATCGTACTGATTAATGCGCAAATTAAAATGCAAGATAAATTTTAAATTTCGAATGTTTATGTCGAAATTCTTTTTATAATTTTTACGAAAATTTTAAGAAATCTCTTAAAAAGAAACAGTTCATTTCTGTTTCTTCTAGATCTTTACTTTCAGAAAGCAATTCACATTCACAAAATGACGCGCAAAATATTTGGGCCTAAATTTCCAAGCTTCTTCTGTATCTTCTTATAAAAGAGAAACCGGTTTTTCTCAGAATTGACCGATCATTTTTCCAAAGTACATGACACTACATCAGAAATGCATGATTTGAAATTTGTATTCTCTTTCTACACGAAAATATTTTAATATAATATTTTTTTATTTAGTAATTTTTTTAATAATTAAAGCATATGAATTTTTCAAGGTAATATAAGAAACATTATAGATATTTAAATTATATTAATTACATCATTTTTTTCTGATAATTGAGAAGATACTGTTAAAATGCTTTTTTTAAAATTTTCTTTAAAAATCATATTTAACAAAAGAATA